GTATGATCTTCTTTGTTGAGGGATGTGATGTAACGTTCGAAGGTGTTGTTCCTCATTTTGGTTAGCGCTCTGTGTAGTTTTCGCCTCAATCGGTTGTAATTCACATATTTACTGCAAAATATACCGCTGTAAGCAGAAAGACGGAGTCTGAACCANAAAATAATATTCATATTTTTTTTTTTTAATTAACTGCGTATTTACAATCTGCTCTCTTATTGTGGAGCATTGAGTAAATCTGTTCGTGAGTGGCATGAGTGGAGCATTCATCCTCTGATGAATCTCCTATCAGTCCTGTAGATGGTTGATATTGTTTGCCGTGTCTTCAGCGGTTTCGTGGAGGTCAGTAGGCCATTGCCGTTTTAGTCTCCTTGGCACCTTTGGCGGAGTATTCAGGGCCGCTATGAGTTTGTTGCTATGTCCATCTAGTCGTGCGCTATATAGTCTCGACAGTCTGCGGATCTCGTCACTGACGAAAGGAGTTTGGAGGTCGTTGTGAAGAGTTAAGTTGGACACATACCAGGGTGCATCTGCGACTGCTCGTAGGATTTTTGACTGTATTCTCTGTATGATTTTTGTGTGTGACGGTTTAGCACAACCCCAGAGTTGAATCCCATATGTCCATATTGGTTTGATGATGCATTTGTATAGGAGTAGTTTATTGTTCATGGATAGTTTAGATTTTTGTCCCAGGAGCCAAGACATTTCCTTTAGTTTTAGGTTTATCTGCTGTCGTTTGGTTTTGATGTGCTTATGCCATGTCAATTTCTGGTCTAAGTGTAGACCTAGATATTTCACTTCGTTTTTAACTGGTATGGGAATGTTGTTTATCGATACCTGTGGGCATACTATTCGTCTTGTTGTGAAGGTAATGTGGACCGATTTGTTCTGGTTTATGTTGATCTGCCAGTTGTGGAACCAGTGCTGCAGAAGATTTAGGTGTTGTTGGAGATTTTCCGAGGCTATTATTGGATCGTTACTTGTTGCTAGGATTGCGGTGTCGTCCGCGAATGTAGCCACTGTTGTTTTGGTTGTTGTGGGGAGATCTGCAGTATATATTAGGTATAGTAAGGGGCCCAGAACACTGCCCTGTGGTACTCCTGATCGTATCTGGTGGCATTGTGAATAGTCATGGTTGAATTTGACTTGGAAATGTCTTTCCGTTAGGTAGGACTTTAGTATGAGGTAATACGGGCCAGGAAGAGCCTTCTTGATCTTGTATAGTAGGCCAGCATGCCAGACCTTATCGAAGGCCTGGGCAACATCCAGAAATACGGCTGTGCATAGCTTTTTTTCCTCAAGGCTAGCTGCTATTGTGTTTACGATTCTGTGGGATTGCTGTATTGTTGAGTGCTTCTTCCTGAAACCAAATTGGTAATCAGGAATGATAGTGGATAAGTCTACATCTTTTTCGAGTCTGGTTAGTAGCAGTCTTTCAAATATTTTTGACGGGATTGGCAAGAGGCTGATTGGGCGATATGAGCTTGTTTCATTAGGTGGTTTGCCGGGTTTGTGGATCATTATGATCTGCGCAAATTTCCATGTGGGCTGAAAGTACGACAGTCTGATCATAGCGTTGAAGATGATTGTTAGGAGCACTATCGCTTTTCGTGGAAGCTGTTTAAGTATGGTTGCTGTGATGAGCTCGTAACCGGGTGCTTTGTGCTCGTTTAGGTTTTCTATTACCCGTTGTGTCTCTCCTGGAGTGAACGGTTTGATTGGTGGTGCCATTTGGCAAGGCACGTCTAGGAAGTTTATTATTTCTTCTTGATTTCCATTGATATTTGGGAGGGGTGAGAACACTTGTTTGAGGTGGTCAGCAAATGTTGTCGCCTTTTCGGGATCGCTTTTCGCCCATGTACCATCGGCTTTTCTTATTGGTGGTATTGCGGTTTGTGGTCTCTTGAACTTTTTTGTGGCTTTCCAGATTGTATGATCTTCTTTGTTGAGGGATGTGATGTAACGTTCGAAGGTGTTGTTCCTCATTTTGGTTAGCGCTCTGTGTAGTTTTCGCCTCAATCGGTTGTAATTCACATATTTACTGCAAAATATACCGCTGTAAGCAGAAAGACGGAGTCTGAACCATTTCACAGTTTGTGCCTCCAACAACAGTTTTGTTGTATTTGTCTGTCAACGAGGGACAGTTACTGAAATTTTGTTTTGACCGTATACACACAGTCCGTCTTTCAAAAGACCTCCCTCTTCGATAGCTAAAGCTATTCCACTAGCAAAGTCAGCACACAGATACAGGCTCACTACATGCAACTTGTTTCTAACTTAATGTAAGTAGATTTAAGAAGCCATTAAGCTACATGATTAAATATCTAATTACGTAAGGTTTCAGGTTTTCAGGGGGATGGAAATTCATACTCTTGTGGTCTTCCGGGTTTTTGATACCCAGTAGTTTGTTATGTGGGCACCGAAATTCCAGTGGAATATCTGCCTCCACTTTTAACCAGAAGAGAAGAATATGAAACCAGCTTATCTGTTAACTGATTTAACAGATCTTTGGCAATAGAAGCCAAGTCTCGATACTCATAGTATTTTTTAAATTTTTTTATGTAATGACGATTTCAGTGTCGAGAGTATATAATGTTGACGAGAGGGTGAATAATGTTTATGTATGTAATGTATGTATATGGCTCTACCGCTCTTGTAGCCCGCCTCTGTGGTCTAGTGGTCAGATTTCCTGGCTACAGACCCAGCATTGGTTGGTTCGATTTCCGGCTCTACCAGATTTTCTGAGAAGTAGTGGGTCTCAGCCTCGTGAGGATAACTGAGGAGCTATTTCAAGGAAATAGCGACTCTGGTATAGAAAACCGAGTTTAACGGCAGTGGGGATCCGTTGCGCTGTCCACGCGACACACACTATCCCGTAAAGTTGGCACTAACTTCGCTGGCAAGCGGCGGTCACTTGGTCGGTATAGTTCTCTTGCGGGCTACAGGCCACGGATTGTGTTTTGTTTGTTGTCTAGAGCCCTTGTGGACCTTGGTCGCTTTCTCAGTTCCTTAATCGATACACAGACGGTAGGACTTCTTGGACAGATGATCATCCCGTCGAAAGGCCGCTACCTACACACAGAACAACACAAACAGAATAAACGCAAACAGACATCCATGCCTCGAGTGGAATTCGAAACCACGACCCCACTGTTAGAGCGGGCGAAGACGGTGCGCGGCGATTGTGATCGGCAATTTTACCTTTACTTTGACATATCGTCTCCGTCTTCCAGGTGGAAGAGTAAGCCGAAGGAGAAGCAGGAGGCAAGCCTAAGTGTCGGTATTAGGCTTAGTAGTGATGCATTGTATTTACCCTCGCGTTAGTCCTGCATATGGCCCCACTCTGAATTCCGCCATATGTTGTGTGGTGCTTTATGGGTAATTGCGTGGGAACTCACTTGTAGACCACGAGAGAGCTGCACCCAAAGCTATGTCATGTGGTAACACCCATATGTCATATGAAATAGTATGCCGGAGTGTCATGTCATGTTTCATATTAATAATACGTGGGATAGGCCTACTACACAACTGAATATATAATTGAATTAATTACAAGTTGTGCATTTCTTTATTCTAGCAACATATTTCGACATTTCGTCACCGTCGGTCTACCTTTATATTATTTTTGTGTAACTGCTATTGTTATTGGTTGGTCAGTGTTCACAGGTGCGTTTTGAAGCTAACGTATGTGAAATAAATTATGGGATTGCTCTTAAATTATAAGCAGCAAAACTGTTTTGCTGTATTGTCTTAGTTCTTTATTCGAATTTGTTGAAAGTAACACTTTATTAAGCTGTTTCTTCTATGATACGGGTGTCCTTTGTCACTACGCCATGGCGTGTTCTGGGGTTGCGGATGGAAGAGACGATTTAACTGATAGCCGAAAAGGGGTGGTCCCCATAGTCGTGTTTGGCGTGGATCTAACAATTTGTTAAGAATTGTTACGGATGGATTATTTGGGAAGACATAAGAGAAAGAAATTCGAAAAGGAATTTTGCGTATGAAATATAAGGAGTCTAGTGGGCAGGTTCACTGACAGCCGTTGCAAGAGCCATAATGCGCGGGGAAAAAGAGAGAAGTACAGGTATACAGGATTTGGTGGGAAAGGTAAAAGGAAAGAGACCACTATAGACTAGACATAGTTGGGAGGATAATATTGAAATGGACCTTAGAAGAATAGGATGGGGTGGTATGGAATGGATTCACCTTTCTGACGATAGGGGCCAGTGGCGGTGGTCCTTGTGAATAAGGCAGTGAAAAGATTTTGGAAAGTTCTTGAGTAGCCGTGAAACTGGTGGCTTATCCAGAAGGACTCGGTCAGTTCCATGGAGTTAGTAAGTTTACGTTCCAAGTTAAAATCAGTATGTTATATGCCAACATACATTTGCGGAACACTAGGTATTGTGGAGTGCTGTACTAGTAAATTATTATTGATGTTAAAATTGTTGTTTTACGGAAAGAAAAACGCAGTTATGCTAGAAGGAAATAAATCATAAGAGATAATCGACAAATAATTTTCACATGAAAAATTCATTTTTATATCTTTCTATCCACTAGTATGTTTCAGTTCAGAAATAAAGGAATGAGTTTTGATTAAATTTTTTTACCGGTAAAATTCGAATTTTCTCTTAGTATCCGATATAAGTTAGACGAGCCTCATATCTACTTATGTTAATGCCTGTTGCAAGATGACAATAAGTAGTATGACAATAAATCAGGTTGAGGTACAGGAGTTATATTTAACGTATATTTTTAGAGTCGAAAGTTTTAAATAAATACAGAGTTTTGGACACCATACAGAGGATGGTCAGAAGACTAATTGTACAAAAATAGCTCTGTATTCCAGTTACTCAGTTTTGAACCAGCGAATTCCCAAAATCACATAGAACGGTTTTGGAAAACGTGCTTCTTTGTTCATAATCTGTGTTTGCCGGGTAATTAAATGCCCTGTCCATGTTAGGTGGGCCTCTTGTCACCACGGCGTAGGGTGTCGTCAGATTGCGGATGGAGGAGACGGCCTCCAGATATGGGGGGGCGGTAGCTGCGAATATATTGAATAAGCAGTCGCGGACAGAAACGAGACAGTTTTTTAAAAAAGAGACAAGACGATGGATAATGTCCAAAAACCTAATACTTGTAGCAATATACCATCGTCACAAACTTTTAGATCTTAATTACCAAACAGTGTTCGTAAAAGCCCGAAAAAGCAGTCATTGACATCTTAAAAGAAACGTTTACAAGAGTGAGTTACAAAATTTATACAGTTTTCTATATTTTGTCTATATATTTTTGTACTGTGTACACTTTAAACTCTTTTTCAATAGTAAAATAGCATATATTTTTTTAATTTCGCTGTCTTCTCGTTTTCTAGCTTTAGGCAACACTGCTCGGTAAAGCATAGGTTCGTAGCGTACTTATGTTTTACTAAAATTCGGGCTTTTACCGTAACATATATATTATGTTTAATAGCTCTCACATGCTGCGCTGAACTGCCTCATTTTCTTCGCGAATGGCGCAGGTAAAGCATCATATACATAACCAATTAGACAACAGCCTCTTTGTTTAGAATATCATTTGTTGATTCTTCCTGTATCATCGCGCATGTGACACTTCATCATATAGGAAGCAGATCATATACTTACCTGCAACCTGTCATTTCCGGTTCCGCAACACCCCAACAATCTCCCCAGCTTCCGCGCAGGAAAAGCACATTCAGATATATCGGCCTTTTAAAGCAACCCCCAAATGTGGACATAAAACACCGGAAGAGAACCTATACGTAAGAAGTAGGGTCTGTAATAGAACTGGAGCAGCAGTTTAAATACATTGAAAGGAGCTCATTTAAATGGCCCGTCAATTCAACTTAACAATGTGTGACAGGTTAGCTGATAACATGATTTATAGCAATTTCCCTTCGTCACGCGTATCCTACTGCTATGTAAGTGGCTAACGCTTTGCTATTCGGTGGTACTAGTTACGAACAGGAGCAGAAAATTGCAGTAACACACTAAGGTAGAAAGAATGATTGGGTGATATTGTTGTGTGGTGAAACTGAATCCCTTGGTACATAGGCTGCACGTGGGACCACTGTACAAGCCTAGGATGTTACCTGAGGGAATGGACCACCGATGGGACGATAATTGGTAGGAAAAGTCGGAAGTATTCGGAGAAAACCTTTCCTCATTTCCAGTCTGTCCTCCATCTATCCCACAGGCTGCTCTCGGATTGAACCTAGACTCCAAGTGAAAAACCCCCACAAAACCGCCTGAGTTATGTGAAGGCAAAGACAAACAAACTCCGTGGATTCAGTCCGCAAGCGAACTATACCGACCGAGAGACCGCAGCTTGTCGGAGAAGTTAGTTCCAACTTTTTGCGGATAGAGGGTGTCGCGTGGTAAGCACAAGGAATCCCCACGGCCGTTAATCTCGGTTTTCTAGACCGGAACCGCTATTTCCTTGAAATAGCTCCTCAGTTATCCTCACGAGGCTAGGGGGACCCCGTTCTAGACCCACCACTTTTCAGAAAACCTGTTAGCGCCGGGAATCAAAACCGGGGCCTCTGGATCTGTAGCCAGGGTCTCTGATCACTAGACCACAGAGGCGGTTGACGGCAAAGTCGGTAAATCAATTTACATTTTGAGGACAAAAATCACAGTGTACCTCTAGATAACTGCAACGCTAATTGCATTTCCTTATCCTATAAAATATAGTAGTTCACACACTGACAAGCTCAGTAACTGAATCTATGTAGAATATTTCATTAGTAATGTGTATGAATTGGAAAGTATGAGGAAGGACACGATGGTGACCAAATTTAAGGTATTACCTCAGAATCCCCCTCTATATGGACTTAGCAAAACCACGAAGAACCACAAGCAATCAATTAGGATTAGCATTTGAATCTGCAACCCGGGAGCCTCAGAGTACAAGAGTTTGGGAACCAGAGGTCTCTTTCTTTGTGCCGCAGTTCGGTCACTGTACAAAACTGACCCTAAGTTCGATAAGTCAGCACTACATGCCAATATATGAAAAGCAACTTTTCCTGTTCTTTCAGGTCGAATTCTGTACGACATCCCTTGCAAAGTATGTCAGGACCATTCGTCTGGGAAACATTATGGGATCTTTGCTTGTGACGGGTGAGTACCAGCCGCTCGCTGCTTTGCTTTTGTTTCACTTTTGTTGTTTTAACTTGTACGTGAAGTGGTATTGTTTCGACTTATCGCAGCTGTGCGGGGTTCTTCAAGAGGTCCATCAGGAGGCAGAGGCAATACGTCTGCAAAGCCAAGTCGGAGGGCAGCTGCGTGGTGGACAAGACGCACCGTAACCAATGTCGGGCTTGCCGACTGCGCAAGTGCGTCCAGGCAGGCATGAACAAGGACGGTACGGTTATTTCTTTGTACATTGTTTAGCAATTCGATTACTATCTCGGACGATACAGCATCGAATGTTAAATTAATCAGCTGATAATGAATTCCATAGGATGTTTGTTTACGGTTTATTTAGCTCCACTGTCAGTAGCTCAAACTGCATAGGATCGAATGAGTGGGCGAGTAGTGAATAATTACTTATAAAAATTAAGGAGCAAAATGCAACCGTAGAATAATTTGAGGTACCAAACTCAGTCGATACAGACATAGGCCACAAACTGGACGGCTGGAGTTTAATTTCCGGCAGGGGCAAGAGATTTTCTCTACTCCACAGCCTCCAGACCGATTATGGGGCCTACTCAACTTCCTATACAAAGGGTACTGGGGGCTCTTTCCCCTGGGGTAAAGCAGCTGGGCCGTGAAGCTGACCACTCACTTCAATCTAGTTCCGAGGTCAAGAATGATGCTTTACCTTCAGTCCCTCACATGTCTTCATGGTGTGGAGCTTAATTAATTAATCAATCACAGGGACAATTTTACATTTTATTTTTACTATCTCAGCACTCAGTTTACCTGGAGTGACTGAGGAAAATCACGGAAACGGAATCAGTCAGAATAGCATCTCTCAGGATCGAAGCTAAAATACAAGTACGTCCGTGACTGGCCATGAGAGGGCCGCATTACTTTCACTTTGGCTGTTCTGTGTGCTTCAGCTGTTCAGCATGAAAGAGGACCAAGAAATTCGACTCTAAGACGTCAGATGGCACTTTTCTATAAAGAGCCGAATTCACCACCTCCTGGGGACCTAGCGGGGGGCCTCGGAGTTGCATCCGTGCCTCCGCTAATACACCCAGCACCTCCGCACCCCTCGGTTCTAGACCTGGCCATGCCAAAGGTGCCACGGCCTGAGCCGTATCATATGCTCCTGCCGACGGCGAATTTCTTCTGCAGTCCTGCGGCTGTTGCTGCCACTGCTGCCCTACAAAAGGTAAGGGATTAGCAGTGCATAGTACAGACAGGTATGAAGAAGTAGACGTAACAAACGCTCTCGATAAGATCTGAGATGTGCATGACAGTCAAGACATGCTGTGGTCTTCTGGTTTATGACATTACGTAGTCTCACAGGGGTTACCAGAGAGGAACTTGTTGCCTACCTTTTAATTCCTCCTCTGAAGACAAACGGTTCCTTCCACCTATCACTTTCACAATATAGGCAGTAGCCCAAGTCTGTTAGCCTTAAAATGTTCTCTCATTCTAACGGAAAACGCCAGGAAATTCGTGGAATTATATCACAGCGCTACGAGTTGTGCACTGAATACGGAGAATCTCATCTCGAAAAAAAAATTGTAAATTCTGTAAGTAATAAGGAAATTTCTAAAATATTTTGGTGTAAATTTTACTAAAGAGTTAACTGAATTTTGGATGATTATTTGTTTCCTTGCGGTACACTTTATTAACCAACTACGCTACTGCGTGCCCCCGAACATGTAAGTAACAACACAATTTTCCTCTCCGTTCCTGGTGCCACCTGTTCAGACCTTTGCCAGCTGCCCTCCTGTATGGTAACATAAAACACGAACTCAGAGCCACTGATTATATGAATGGTGTTGGAATGATCTCTTTAATTGGGACGTTTTGTTTTCAGTTACCTTTGGGTCTGACGCTTCCAGCGCCCTTCCCTTCGCATACCACGGAGACCCTGTGTGAGTCTGCAGCTCGACTCCTCTTCACGAACGTGAAATGGGCAAAGAATGTCCCAGCCTTCACTGGTCTGAATTTTAACGACCAGGTTAGTGGCAATCTTCTGCGAATTCAGACGCTGATCGCGTGCTTCTAAGCGATGTTAAACCATGCAAGTAACCTTGGTTTGAGAGTCGGCAAGATTGTTAATTAACAAATATGTCTGATATTCCATCATACATGGGACACTTCTTTAAAACTTTACCTATACACAATGAGTCTTTTAAATATATATTTTTATTGTTTTACGATCTACTCAATATACATAAATGGAGTAACTAGTAAAATGGATGGGTGTATGTAATATTGAAGCAGGTATCATCCTCTGATGATTCTCTGGTGCTTATCTAATGAGATCCTCTGACCACATTCCATTTAGTCTTCTTTCTATTGCTGGTTAGTTGAAGAGGTCTCTTATTGGTTGTTGTTTTGAGTGGTCGGTTTTTGTGTTTCTCCGCGTAGGCTCTGATGACTTCTGTTACGTATGGTATGCCTAGATCATTATGTAGAGTAGCGTTTGATACGTACCAGGGAGCATTAACTAGTTTTCTTAGCGTTTTGGATTGGAACGCTTGGAGAATATTTATGTTGGAAGGTTTGCTGCATCCCCATAACTCTATCCCGTAGGTCCAGACGGGTTTGGTTATTGTTTTGTATGGGACTAAAATATATTTAAAACCAAATTTTACACTATATGTTTCGACCGTCATTAGTCATCATCAGGTGTTCTAAAACTGTGTGTGGGGACTGCTGTGCTTGCATTTTAACAAACAATATGCAACAGAGTGCCATAGAATAACCTTAGAACCGGGGACTTCATGAATAAAAGTCTGAAGCGCTACTTGAACTAAATTGTCTGATCTCTTTCAGCATTATTCCAAGGTTTCATAATGTAATGAAATTTGTTTTGTTTCTATCGTGTATTCGACAATTAAATTTAAATGTATCTGGGTAGAGCTCTATCTGAAGGAAAGGGACCACTTGGAAGACCTATATTAAAGTTGTTTGAAGTTATTAAAGGAGATCCTAAATAAATATGACCCGAATGTGTGAACTTGGTTTACATCACTCACAGGTGCCAGTAATGGACCCTTGAAAACACGGTAATGAATAACCTGACTTTATAAAGATGGGAGACTTCTTGGCTATATGAACGAACATTTTCTCGAGAAGAAGTGTGTTCCATGAAGTTGTTAATCTCTTGCCTGTGTGTAGCTCCTGCTGTTGGAGCAGAGCTGGAGGGAGCTGTTCGTACTCGGAGCTGCGCAGTACCTGCTGCCCTTGGAGCTCTCCCAACTTGTGAGCTTCCATGGAGCACTCACTCACAGGGACTCAGAACACGCTGTAGCCCTCCTGCACGAGGTCAAGGTGTTCCAAGACACCCTCAGTAAATTCAAGCAGCTCCACGTTGATCCACACGAGTACGCCTGTCTGCGAGCCATTGTGCTGTTCAGAACCAACGGTGAGTTGCAATTAGGCCTTATGGTGAATATGTGATTACTTTCTGACGCGTTTGTGATTTCACTATGCAACTGATTTCGATTATCAGACTTCTGACATCACTGTCTTGAGTTACCTATGATATCAAATTTGTGAGTAACTTCAATTGTGTCCGAGGGTTTGGCGATATCAGGTTTGAACGTAATTTCAATGTGTCCGAATGGCTGACACTGACAAAATTGTCATTGATTTTGCTCTCCGATTGTTTGGTTTATTAAAAATTTGTAAGTAATTTCAAAGTACATTTGTTTAGTTCTATGGAATTTGGAACTAACCTCACTGCCTGACAGACTGACTCTCTCAAACCTGTGACTTCGCCGTAGGTTCTTTTGCGGTATCAACTTTGTGTGTTTACTGCCGGCTACAAACATGACACAAAAATTGTTTTATTCTGTATTAATAAGATGTAATGAAGTTTATTGTCAGGCGGTGACTTGAAACCATGTAGTCTGGTAGAGAGTTGCAAACGTTTCGGATGAATCTGCTGCCTCAATCTTCAGGTAAAGAATGAAGATGAAGGCAGTAATTACCCTCCGAAATTTTTATAAAAGAAATGATATACGAATCGCTAATATTAACATTCTTTTTATATTTGCTAACTTTATTGAGGGACCGCCTCTGTTGTCTGGTGGTCAGAGTTCCTGGCTACAGATCCAGAAGTCCGGGTTCGATTTCTGGCGCTACCAGATTTTGTGGGAAGTGGTGGGTCTGGAACGGGGTCCACTCAGCCTCGTGAGGATAATTGAGGAGCTATTTCAAGGAAATAGTGGCTCCGGTCTAGAAAACCGAAATTAATTGCCGTGGGGATTCGTTGCGCTGACCACGCGACACCCTCTATCCGCTAAAATTGGCACTAACTTCGTCAAAAAACGGCGGTCGTTCGGTCGGTATAGCTCACTTGTGGATTGAAACCAAGGAGTTTTTTTTTGTTTATTCTATTGTGGTACTAGGAATATTACATATATGTTGTAAATGTAGTTGTAGTTTTAATTTTAACAAAATTTATTTTCCTTCTCATCGTCTCATCTTTTCTTTCCTTTCTTTATAACGATTTCAATATATCTGGTGTTCCTAACCTCACAAATACGTGTATTACCGACTTCCACTCAGTTTCCTAGCTGTTTAGGTATTTAGTACGGGAAACATGATTACAGCACAGAATTTAAAGCGACAGTGTTCCATGGTCGGAAAGGGAAAGAATAAGGCCATATTTCAGTAAACTGCTTAAGTATAAGGCAAATTTCGTAAATCATCCTGCTTACACATCATTTGCTGTTAACAGACGTGGACAACGGAAACAGTTCTAGCAGCAGTAGCAAGAGCAACACGCCGGGTACTGATGACAGAACTCTGGTGGATGCGGCAGCAGTGGCAGCCCTTCAGGACCATACACAGCTCACCCTCAGTAAGTATATCGCCACGGCACACCCCGACCAACCGCTGCGCTTCGGTAAACTTCTGCTGCTCCTCCCAACTCTTAGAACCGTATCTGCAGCCACCATTGAAGAACTTTTCTTTAGAAGGACAATTGGCAATATTCCCATCGAAAGAATTATATGTGACATGTACAAGACAAGTGATATTTGAAACTTATAGACTGAAATGTTCAAATAGAAATAGATTCCCAGGATTCTACAACTGTAAGTCTGTCTGTAGACAACAGCTATAGAAATTGTAGCTGAGCGAGAAAGGGGCAGCAATGCGTAGAACAGAGTTCCAAGCATCAAATTACGGTTGGCCTCGACATTGTCTTCAATATGGCTAAGCCAGGGAAGACGTACGTACAGCAACAAGAGCAGAAGCCCCGAAATCCAGCTGTCGCAGAACTGGATTCAAAATGGCTGCCCTAAGGAGGATGTATGCAGCAGAAACATCAGCAACAGCACCCCGCAGTCCAGTAGCAGAACTGGTTCCAAAATGGCTGCACTACGGAAGATGTAAACAGCAGAAACATCAGCAACAGCGCCCCGCAGTCCAGTTGTCGTAGAACTGGTTCCAAAATTGCTGCACTAAGGAGGATGTATGCAACAGAAACATCAGCAACAGCACCCCGCAGTCCAGTAGTAGAACTGGTTCCAAAATGGCTGCACTAAGGAGGATGTATGCACCAGAATACATCATCAACAGCAGCAGACTCGAAATCCAGAGGTCGCTATACCAGAAGACCAGACTGTGAAAACAGCGAAGTCGAAATTAATAACTAACAACCACAGTGCAACAGATCATGCTCTATCTAAAGACAGCAAATGTCAACTTGAGAGCTGCGTGTAACCTCGTCATGTGACTACAAGGGCCTGCGTTAGCTGTGAGTGAAGAATAATTTGAAATTCTCTGACTCAAACTGCCCCTCTTTTGAGAGAGGAGTTGCCAAATACAGTCCATCTACTCTGAGAACTAGACAGATCGTGCTTTGTGTAGGCAACCCTATGGAAGAATGTTCCACTTTTCCAACCGCCTATATAAATATCAGCGGTACGGTTAAAATAATATCTAATCGATTTCAAGTAATGACGTGATAACTTACGTCACTAACTGAAGATGACGCACCGTTGTTGTCCGCCAACTAAGCGAAATAAACGTTATTATAAAATAAAATAGCACAGCCACAGAACATCAATGACAGCTGCAAAACTAAGAAAGAATTCTAGGTAATAAAAGTATATAATATATATTGCAATAGTATGCTAAAATTAAAGTTCTTGTTCTAAATTTGTAAACATATTATATTTGTGAATGGAACAATTTTTCTGATTAATTTAGAGAGAGAAGGAAAACGTTGATTTTGGGGTTTGTTTTCTTTCGAGTTACGTGAAATCGTTTAGTCTCATGCGCTGTTTGCCAACGTGCTGCAGGGGTCTGCTACCTCCATCTTCGGTTTGAAGCTACAAATCACTTAGCAGACTGCATGGTGCCACATAGCCCAAACAGCTGCAATCTACATTTTCGCCGCAGTGAAAACATAAAATATGTATTAGCACATTTTTCATAATTACGACATAATAAGTCAGGTCAAACCATTTGGTTGTTTCAAAGTGAAATATGGAAGACGCAAAATACACTTGGACATGTAAATAAGACAGTAATCAAAGTACATATTTCAAAATAAACTTCGGTTCATATTAACAGAAATCAATGTATGGTGAAATATTTAACATCTAAATTTTATTTTATATTAAAACAAGATTATGAAAATATACATTGTACAATTAACAGGCGCGACTGACATAAATGGAATAGGTAATATTACTAACAAATTTTCCCTTATGATAAACAAATATTAAATTTACATGCAAACGTTCGCCTTTGGGTTATGTTACTGAAAATGGCAGTAAGCCAAAAATATAGGCCAACTTAATGAATAAATTATCAGTTTCAAATTTATTGCTACTGTTATATGTACTACAGAGAAACTAAGTGTATTATGGAGGAATACATTAAAAGACTGAACCAAAACGTGATTTTAACGCAGTCTAATGGCAATAACGACCCCTTGCCGCGGTTCTAATATGACTGACATGATTCTGTGTTCAATATATAAGTTCGAAGATGCACATATAATATCAGTTCTGTTTAATCATCTCTAAAACCTAAACATTTATACAAAACTATTCTGGGCATAAAATTAGTCTCAGTTGCCTCTACACAACTTCCGTTCAAAATAATTTTATATCCAATAAATACTTATCCTGTAAGTTAGAGATACCTACAGAAACACATGTACGTCTTCATGTAACATCCTTGAAACTGTCCGACATTAATGAGAATTGAAATGGCTCAAAAGTTTATATAGAATCCCGTAGTATCAAATTATGTAAAAGTCCTTCTTGGTGTTTTCGAATGGTTCGGTGAAGGCGAAAGAACGGATGCTGTTCTGGACGTCTAACGACTGCAGACGCGCCTAAGGTAAATGTTACTCTACAGCCAATGGGGCCAACCCTGTGACAATACCAAATAATTTGTGATTGCATTATTGTTATATTTTTATATTACTATAAATACGGCAATAATGTTATTATTAGCTGTAAAAGAAAAATGTTGATGCAGCACGAATATAAGGAAAGAAAGAAAGAAAGAAAAAAAAAACATAGGCAAAGTATTTCTTTGTGAAATCAGATAAAATGTAAGTAAAGTTTTAAGATGATGACAATAAGGATTGTTCTATGAAATAAGTTATTTAATAAATAGCCTTGATTGTTACATGGCTTAAAGTCACAAAGTAGTTGAGTATGGAATGAATTTCAGGTGTGCGTAATAATCCCATCGAAATTAATTACCTTTATGCTGCGTTATTTTAAGCGAAATTCCTGTTCTCAAGCAAATTTAATACTAAGAACGCGCAGAAGAGATTTCCTTGGAGAAAGGATGGCAAGTCATATTAATTGGTAATATAATAAATCATATCAGATTATAACTTACGACAGAGCAAAGTTTACGATTCAATTTTAGGCGGGTGTTTCAAAATATCATTAATATATCCTACAATTTATTTCACAATGATATCAGTTCCGATCGCTCTGGAAATTATCACGACTTTGCATCTACAGTAATTGTCTTATTGCGTATGAACTTTTACACGTTTTGGTACGCTATGTCTGTCGAGGCTGGGAGGGCGAGGGACCAGATTTCGAGTCCCGGTGAGGTCCAGAATTTTCTCCTCTCTACCTCGTGCAGGCCTCTACTGGGGCCCACCCAACCTCCTATCCAATAGGTACCGGAGTCTCTTTCCTCGCAGTAAAGCGGCCGGGGCGTAAAGCTGACCACTCGTATGCAATTAGTGCTGAAATCACGAATACGTGGATCCATACATCCACTCCCCCATACTTTTTCTTAGCGTAGTGCTTCATTAGTTAAGCACAGGGACAATTTATCTTTATGGTTACCATTATCAGAATAATACATGAAGTTATAACGGAGAAATGGTTTGTTATACATAAATATTCGATGTTGTATGCTGTTTTAAAAATGAATGGCCCCAGGAGCATGTAACGTATCATATCATGCTTAATTTTGCAAACAACGACCCTTCCAGCAAGAAGTTCATGTGAAGTGCCTGGATTTCGATTGTCGCCATTTAAACTGGTGACGCCAATTTTAAATCCAAGTCCATCCCACAGACCTGCAACTAGTTTCTTACCTGACTACTGAGCGGTGCGTTGTATCCCTTACAGCAGATGTTGGTGCAGTTTGCAGTTTTACTGCCATCCGGGAAAACAATTTGGTATGACTACCAGACTTCATTACAAGGCTTAACGGTACATTTGTACGCCTCCGACGGCGGGGGATGGTGAATTGCAGCGATGGCATTTTGCAGAGTGATTCCAGGATTTCATGGGCTCAATGCTACGTGGACTGAAAAAGCTGTACTCTATTGAGGTTCGGGGTTCGCTTCCCCATAACATTCAGACCAGCACCAGAGCCCATCTAGCCTCCTAACCAATGGGTCTCCGCAGGGGCATAGAGCTGACAAGACATCTCCATCCAGTGCCGATGTAAAGAATGGTGGAGTTTCTATTTCCCCAACTAAATCTTCTCAGTCTGCTGTGTCTTCACCAGTCGTTTCTTAGTAGCTGCTTTCAACGGCCGACGTTCCCCTTACTCTGGGTCCTCAAATTATCCCCGTGACTCAGTTATCAGCTTCCAACAGCAACGGCTCACAAGGACTGCGCCGCAGAATTCTTTTCTAATTAATTCACTCACTCGCTCACTCACCAACCAAGCAACCAACTCGCTCCACTTCACTCAACTCAACTCAACTGCAATGATTGTTCTGCTTATAACATCTCGTCACGGATCTCATAGAAAACACCGCTAGTCATTATTGTAGTTCAATTGTTTCCATGAGAATATATCTGTTTTAATAGCCGTTACTCAGTAACGGCTCTCGTATGTTTGCTTATTCCGCGGTCGTTGGCTAGCAAGGTGTCTACTTTGCTGTTTTAGAAGGCGACTGGGCTTTCCAACCCGGGATAGCTCAGTTGGTATAGCGACAGGCTACAGGCTGGACGCACAGTGGTCGGAGTTCGAGTCCCCCTAGGGGCAAGATTTGTTTCTCCACGTCATTCAGATCGGTTCCGGGGCCCACACAGCACCCTCTCCAATGGTACCGGGGGCTCTACATTGGACACTGGGGTCTGTTTCCACGGCAAGGGCGTGAACTGGCCACTAACATTCATCTAGTGCCGAAGTGAAAAATGGTGGAGCTATACCCCCATTCCGCTACACGCCTTCATGGCGTGATCCTTAATTAAGAACACGGCCAAATTTAGTTTTATCTAATGTTTTGGATGTCTTTGTTTTCAGTTTCCTGTATAAATTTTAGGACCACAGTTACAGGCAACACGATGTTTTTAACGGTTCTAACATTCGAGTACTATCTATCTGTGACTACAGTCTTTTGCTGGACAATGGCCGCTTTTTCAGTTTCTTAATCCCATACACATTCGGTAGGACTACCTGAATGGGTGATCAGCCCTTTGCAAGGCCGCTACCTACCCACAGAACAACACAAATATAGAATAAACATATACAGAGATATCCATACCTTGAGTGGGTTTCGAACTCACGATCCCAGCATTCAAGAGAACGAAGATTTTTCCTGCCTTAGACCGCGCGGCCACTGTGATCGGCATTCGAGTACTAAGTATATAATATATGAAGAAAGCAATCTTCTGGGATTTGGCACCGTGTATATGTGGTGTTAACCGACGTTTCGGAGGAACGTATCGCCTCCATCTTCAGGGTAGAAGAAAAAATGTAAGAAATCTGCAAGCGAAGAGACCGTGAGAACCGGTAAAAGCAGACTGTGTCTTCGCTTGCAGATTTCTTATATTTTTTCTTCTACCCTGAAAATGGAGGCGATACGTTCCTCCGAAACGTCGGTTAACACCACATATACACGGTGCCAAATCCCAGAAGACTGCTTTCTTCATAGTCACCGCCGTGAAAGCTTCAAATCTTACATATATAATATATCTTTACCCATAATTTTATTATCTGAACCATTTATAGTTACAGTTGTGGGTTTCAATTTTCTTGAGTCGTAGATTTGATGTTTATTTTCATTCAGGAGCAAGGCATACACGCACACATACGTGGTAGCGTTTGTTCAGTAGGCGGTTACAAACGCTCCGTACATACTAGCCTCTGCTTTCAGAGTAACTGCCGAAATCTGGCAGAACTTAGCATTTCATTTCATATCCATATGAGCGGCATGGCTATTCTCCGATATCCAAAACAAACGCGTGACAACTGCATTTGCTCTAAGCTTGCTCGTTAAGCCTACTTATGGGGGAACATACACAGACCTTCAATCCCGTAGCATTTCTACGTAACCTGAACATTCCAAACTTAACTCATGACAGTGATAACATAGCATTGTAAGGTCATGAAAAATAAATATTTTAATACAACTAGATTCTAAATATTAGCAGTATATATAATGCACATATCCATACCAAAGCGTGCCTTAGTATAATATTACTTCAGAGATTAAAGAGAAACATATGTAAGGTTACATTATAAATAATTTAATAAGAATCTCGAGTTTTCTTTGATAATTTCCTGTTATATAATCATCAATACTGTCAAATCATATCGAAAATTCCAATTTTATGTTCCTTTTTTGTTTTTAATTCAACACTTTACAATATCCAAAATACCAGTGAAGAAGGAAGTGCTTATAGCCTCGAATGGAAGTGATAAATTTGTTAACAGACTTGAAGTTCGTTGGAGGAACATAAGGTAATGTAGTTGTGTGATTATCCTCTTGAAAATATATATTAACACAACATTTGTTATCAATAATATGAGAGTTGTTCAAATGAAACCAGTATGGAAAATTTTCTGAGCTGAGGAGTGGACCTCGTTCGAAACAGTGGCCAGGAGAACTGGTCAGTGAATGGAAGAGCTTGCTCTAGCGACCCTGATATGTTTCACAGCTCACGGTCTACAGCTTGTGTGGTATGCACACAGCTGTGTCATCACCTGCCCCGAGAACGGATTTCATTTGAACAAATCACATACATACACAGAAACGGAAATTATAAACATGAAGAGCAATGACGTCAGAGGATGCCTGAAAATCAGAAGCTAAGAAAAATTTTTGGATGTAAAAATGGGAAGTAACAAGGAA